ACGACTTCACATAGAAACTGGCCTTCCTTAATGGCCACTGCGTCGAACGCGATCAATGTAATAAATATTGATATTTCGTATGGCAACGTTGATATGAGGAATATATGGCGCGATTTTAGGTTGAACAGTGAAGGAGTGAAACTGAAAAGGAATTGAAACGAAAAAACATTTTTACCCATAAAATGAAAATTCTTATTCACACCAAAAGCGGAATTGTGAAAACCGATATTCCGATCCCAGACCAGGGCGAAAGTTACAAGAGGCATGCCATTCATTCATCTCGAATGTCAATGGAAACCCGGGTTCTCAGAAAACGTGGAAGAAACATATTCTCTGACTTCCCTCGCTATCACATCTCTCATCACGTCCCAGAAACCCGCCGGCACATTCTCCGAACTTGGCCGGCGCTCGGCCACCTCCCCATTAGCTCCAGGCGGCGCCAGAGTCAATGCCGTCAACGGGTCATTTTCCATTTCCGATACCATGCAGGGCTGCACAGATCCCGGAGAACTAAGAACCCTCTCGTTGGCAACACCGGCATCGCCTCCCTCCGCCGAGCGCTGCTCCCTCACCCTTCTCTTGAGCGTGGAGTTCCAGTGGTTCTTCACCGCATTGTCGGTCCGACCCGGGAGTAGCCGGGCGATGGTGGCCCACCTGTTACCGTACTGGGCATGAGCCGCTATGATGGTGTCGTCCTCTTCCTGTGAGAATGGACGGTGCTCCACGCTGGGGCTCAACTGGTTACACCATCTCAGGCGGCAGGACTTGCCCGACCTTCCCTTGATGTAACGACTGATCAGGGACCAGTTTCGGGGCCCGTATCGTTCAACGAGTCGGGTCAGAATCCGGTCTTCTTCTGCGCTCCAGGGGCCTTTGATTCTGTCGGGGTTGTCCCGAATCCTCCGGGGGTTGCTGGAAAAGGAAGAGCCGGAAGTGGAAGAGTCAGAGGAAGAAGTGGAGGAAGAGCATCTATTGATCGCTTCCATGGAGAGCGAGAATGAAAGGTATTGTCAGTGTCAAAGGAAGAAATCAAAGGAAAGAGTTTGTGTGTGTTGTGGGAGTGTTGGGATGGTAGTGAAGGCAAAGGGAATATGTTTGGGCTGGGAATATATATAAGGGGGAGGGAGGGAGAGTGATAGAGAGATAGTGGTGCATGCACGAGCGGAAGCGACGAGGTTGGAGGATACTTCCACGAAATAGGCTTGGTGCATAGTTGGTGGCTGTGTGTGGCTTCTAACATGCCATTATATACTAACTACTAATTGCGTATTTTGGTGTGGCACGTAGTACATGGTTGGCGCTAGACTGCTAGCACGCTCCATCAAAGCCTCAGTCCGCTGTGGCATCAGGAGGAATATAATAGAAAAAATCATTCCAAAATCTCATAAAGAATCTAAATATAAAAGTTTCAAGAAATCACTAAATTATCTTAAAATCTTATGTTTTTCACTGAAATTGTTAATTTGTTATATTCAAATCATCAATTATATATTATTGAATAGTAGTCGTTAACAGAATTGTTCAGTTAACAATTAATAACTAATAACAATAATTAATAACTATTTAAAAGTATTTTATAACTTCAAAAAAAATAAGACTTCAAAATAATTTTATAATTTTATCATGCTTTTGCTATATTTAATTGAGCTTGCATGTGAAATTTTTAGAATGGTCTGTTCAATATAATGATAGGAAGAAGGGAGGGAAGGGGGAAAGTGGGGAGGAAGGAGGGAATTGCATGTTGACCAGCGTGGGAAAAGAGGGGGAGGGTACAGCGGGAGGAGGGCTGATTCAAGAGACAGTTGAGAGGAGAAGCAGGAAAAAGGCGGGAAGTGGCAGCAGGCGTTGTTTGACTTCAACGGCTCCCCCTCTCCACGTAGGATGGGCCCACCTCCAGCCTGTCAGGATCTCACGTGATTCTTCGACTTCCCCTCCCTCTCCCTCCCATCGCCACTCCCCTCACTCTCTCCCCTTCGTTCTATTTTTGTTGGTGAGTGTCTAACTTGTAGTCAGATATAAATTTAGATCATTTCAGAGTTCCTTATTGATATTCTCCCTTTTATTCGTCCTCCTCCTATTTCAAGTTGTCAATCACACCATGACACAACGTGAATTGCAACTGTAATTTTTTCATTCATTAAAGTGTAATCCGCGGATGAAGATTAATAACGTCATATGAATCACATGGCAAAAGAAGATAGTAATTTTTGTAGTCACATTAGCATGCCCCGGGGGGGGGGAGTGGGAGGTGAGGAATAAAACCAATAATATTGGTGGGGCGGATTAATTCAGAATACCCGGACATACAAAGGTGGTCATAAAACCAAATGCGGTTCGTTCATTCAAAATAGCCTGACAAAGGTGGACCCAAATGACCCAGTTCTAGTGAGAAATGGAGGGGGGGAAGAAGAGAGCTCACAGAAGTTTGGAGGGGCTATTGAGGAGAAGCAGTTGGGCAGTTGATGGAGAATCCAACAGCTGGCTCCAAATCCTTACCCACCGACTCCCTTCATTAATCTCTCTGTCTGCTCTTCCAGCTTAATCACCACCTCAATTATGGGATGCTACCATCCAAACGGGTTTCATGTTTTTCTTCTCCGTCCCTCCTGGTGGGGCCCCCTCCTCCTGCCGCTGTTTTTGATCATGTTTCGCCACCCTGGGCCCCATCCCTGCCCCCTCCCTGCCCTTTTGTCCCTCACCCTCTGCCACTGCCACTATACCAACCTTGCCATGTTAGTTTTTCCTCTTCTATGAGCTCTGCATCTCCTCTTTGGTCTCTTTTCTGACCCTTCTTCTGCTTTACATTCGCGCCTCTTCCCCGTCGTCAGTGCTTCTTATTTGGATCATGTCCTTGCTTTTCTCTAAGCGCCATGCTGTACGCTCAATATATCAATATACTAAATACGAAATGTAAAATTTGTAACGCCTTGATTTAAATGCTATATATGGCTCTCGCTCCATCCCCTCCCTGCAAAATAAAAGCCTGTTCACTTCGTATCCGCGCAGGGTGGGCATGGCATTTGTAAAATATATACATATGTGAATAGTCGAAGGTGATCGTGGGCGAAATATTTTAATTCTTGTCTCTGTATCCAGAGAAAGCAATTTTTTTATCTTTTTTTTTTGGCCAATAATATTCTTTATCCCTACATTTATGCCTCAATGAGCAGCAAGCTCGGTTCTCATCAATTTCCTTGGAAAATCATTGAATCTTCTAACTCAACCATATTCAGTTGATGAGATTTCGTGATCTGCAAAAAATTTCAGGTCTTCAACCAAAAAAAAAATCTGAGTTTTTCAAACTATTGAAACTTCTTAAAAATATTAATTATCAATGTTAATATAAAATATAAAGTTCACAGCAAAAAATATCACACCCGTCATTAATGGTACGGATCAAATTAATGACGCATTGAATGCACGCACGCAGTTTATTCACATCAAACTACACTGAAAAAAATAACAATCTCAGACATTATCTAAAAAACCAATCAACGCGACTTTTGTTTAATTTCATCAATGTATAGAAGTGGTGTGGAGGAAATGCGAGCTAAAGCTCATATTCCAGGGATCTTAATTGCAAAGTTGCAATCCCCGAGATACTTGTGGATTTAGCACGAGCTCCAAATCATTAAAAGCCTAGTCAAACCAAGATTCATATTTTACAAAATCAATTCACGTTAAAAAATTATACTTGCTTATTTTTTTTTTTTCTAAAGATACTCAAATTAAATCATCTAACTTATTCATTCATCACTGAACTCGGCCGTCTCAACTAGTAAAAAAATAAAGTGGGTTGTCATGCCCAGGGATTCATGGGCTTTTATTCCGAAGCCCGAACCTGCTTAACCCAGCTAAATCCAAGGAAAAGCGAGTCAGCTGGGTTCTGTCGAAATAAATGGGTTTGAATGAAATTATGTGTTAGTTTGAATTAAAAAATTTATAATTAAAATTAGAATTCAATTAAAGTTAAAAAAAATTCAATAAATATAACATAATTTATATTTAAATATTTTTAAAAAATTAATTAAATAAATTAAAATTTATTTAAATGATTTGACCCAAAAACTAGTTGAAATGTTCAATAAAAAAATAAACATGAAATTTTTTGACTAAATAATAAGTAAAAAATATTATACTTAAAATTATAATTAATAAATAAAAAATCTTAAATATTCAAAATAAAAAAGAAGAGAGAGAAAATATAAGCTAATAGATCAACGGAGAAGTTAATGTGAATGCAAAAGCCAAAAATTCTAGCTTTAGTAAAAAAAACTCATTTATATCCTAACTAAAGTTGAAATTTTTTTTTTATAATCCAAGCAAGTTTTTTTTTTTGTAATAATAATTCAAGCAGGTTTTTTAAACCTTTTCTCATCCTAATTTCAGTTGATCCATCCTAATTTAGGTTATAAAGTGATATTGCTCTGTCATTCTGTTCTGACTGTGGCCCATTGGCTTCTCCTTCTCCTCCTTTTTTTCACCGAAAGGCCGGCTGGCTCCTTACTTCTGGAAGACTGAAGAAATAAAATTACCGTGGATGTAGGGGAAAAAATGACTGTGTGTGACATCCCACAAGATAAAGCGTCCGCCAAGCTTCCCTGATCTAAAGGTGTCATCAGTTCATCAAGTTTGAAAGCTCAGCGTGACAACTTATAGGTTTTAGCACGCTCATCTGCTCGTGGGTTATTAATTTATTACCAATAAATGCCCTTCCAACGGAACTCGTCGATCGTCGTCAATTCAAGTGCTACTCGTGCCCTGTCTTTGCGATTTTATGAAATCAGTAAATAGTAAATTCTTCTGAATTCTGACCCCTAGTTACCAAATCCAAACCAACGCGCCCCTTTGCTCCCCTTCAAAGGAAGAAAGAATGAAAGCATCTGTTGCAATCTCTCTGGCTTTTACCTTCACTGCGAATTTCTTCAATCAAATCAATCAACTTGTCGTGAACTTCATCAATTAGCTCGAGAACGAGTTTTTTCCAGCTTTACAGGGTATTAAGAAATAAAAAGCATCCATTAACCATCAGCAGAAGCTGCATTCTAGGAATTGAGTCGCGCACACTAGAACACGAGGAACAAAGAGAAAGCCACCCATTCTTGATGATGAATTTGCCTTCAATATAGTACAAATGTTTGCAGACAGGCAGAAATAAAAAATACACGAGACAAAGACTGGAGAGACTGATTCCTTTGATTAATATTATACTACATCAGCACCTTGGGAAAAAACAAGACAGAGGAGGGGACGTAATGTTTACATGAATTGTAGTCCTAATTATTAATTAATTAATTAAAAACCTAGTGAGCTCTAACAAAGAAAATACTAAACTCTGGGGCTTGACCACCATCCGGGTTGATCATGTACAGAGTTTCAGAGTCCTCAGAACCAATCACCCTCTGAAATCTTGCCCTCATATATGTCAATTCTCCGTCTGGACTTTCCTTGTCGGACGGACTTGAAATAACCCCTGCGCCCACTGAAACCCCTCTTATATGCTGCATCACGTACATCTCATCCTCGCTCATCTGCTTCCTCCTTATCGAGTACCCTACTTTCCTCCCATTGCAATACACTGCCCACACAAACTCCTCCAACAGATTCTTCTTCCGGGTCCTCGTCTCGCTCTCCAACGCAATCCTCAGTACGTCCGACGCCATTTCCTTGTTCAGAGCACTCGTGTGCATTGGTAGCTCTATAAGGAAGAACGGCATGCGGTGAGGATCTTCTTGTATTGCCAGGCTCACCCTCCCTTTACGGTATCCAAAGATTGTGCCGGAAGTTGCAATGTCCTTGATCATTGACTTGCGGGGTCTTCCCAATAGTGCCACCATTTTGCAGCCCGACGTCAGCATAGGAAAAAGCTTGAACATTTTTAACAGGCCGCCAGCGGAGAACTTGCCGCCGCCGCGTTTCTCCCGTGACATGTGATGGTTGTGGCTGAGCAGGGATTCTATTACTTGGTTTTCTGTGGGGTAGCAGTGACTGGATTGAACAAAAGACATTATAATTATGCCATGTCATATGTATTAAGGTTTGAGTCCTCGGGAAAAAAACAGACCTCGTTGCCGTCTCATGGCTCAGAATCAAAAGAGAGGGTACGGAATTGACTTGGGTGCTCATCCCCTAATCAACAATCTAAATTTAATCTGATGGTCCAGATTCACAAGTTTTTATTTTGTTTTTATTTAATATTTATTAAGACAACAAATATAAAAATTTTAATGAATCTACCAGTCATATGAACAATACAGATTTAGGGCTCGTTCATTTAAAATTAAAAATAAATAATTTTTAAATAATTTATTAAATAGTTTAGAGATTTTATAAAAAGAGATTTATTTTGTAGATATTTTATTAAAAAAATATTATTTACATTTGATTACAATAATAAAAAGTGACTATTAGTTAGTTATTTCTAAATTTTATGATATCTTCTTTGATTTTTTATAAAAATAATTTATTATTATATTATTTAAAATTTTATAATATTTTTATGCATCTCATCTTTTTAAAAATACTTTCTCTCATCTACCACATTAAATTATTTTAAAAAATTATCTTGAGTAGCTTTTTAAAATGAAAAAAATATGCTTTTTCTCATATTTTGATTATTTTTAAAAGTTAGACAAACATAGTAAAAATTTATAAAATATATTTTTTCAAATTTTTTATAAAATAAGCTAAAATAAAAGGGCACTTCATTTGAAAAAATTTTTTTTATTTTTTAATATAAAAAAATAATGACTATTCAATTTAATAATAATATTTTTATAATTTTTACAAATTTACATGTGAAATGGTTTAAATTAAACATTAATTTTTTTATATTTTTTTATTTTAGTAATAATAATATTAAAAATAAATATAACATCTAAACTGACATTTTTAAAAAAAATTAAAAAAAGTTGAGAGTTAAAAATTTTAAAACAAAACTGTCCAGAGTAGTTTTGGACGGCTAATTTATAAAAATTTCAAAAGATTTTAATATTGATTTAAACTATAAAATTAAATCTATTTTATTTAAATTGATAAAAGGTTAAATTTTTTATTTTTATAATTCTTATTCTAATAATTATAAAATAAAAAATAAAGTAAAATTTATTAATTTGAATCATGGCAGGGATGCATGGAAGCTTATAGAGATTGGTCTTGCCAGTGCTGGTGAGTAGGTCTGGCCAGTTACGAAGTTAGTTGACGATCCTTAATGGGGCTTTGTCTTGGAATCCATCCAAGTGGGGTAGTGGAAGAGGGCCTTTCAAATTACTTTGAGCAAAGATTAATGGTTGACGTGACCTAGTTTCTAGAAATAGAGAGGGGAGTAGAATGTGATAAGGTAAGGAGAGGCTGGACCGCAGGGTGTGATTGTGGGGACGTTGAAGAAGAAAAAATGAAAAATTTCTGGGAAATGGTAAGAGAGAGAAGGAAGAAGAGGATTATTGTTTTTCGAGTACGTAGGCGCGTGGCTTAACATCACTTGCTTTATGCTTTTGGAAAGCCATCACAAACCATCGCTGATTATTAAGATGCAGCCCATCCTTCCCCTAACATTTCTGTGCCGGGAACATTATTATGGAGTCATTTTTTCTTCTCAAGTGACTCTCCCTTTCCCTTGCCCACTTTAGTTGCCCCTTGTTAATGCGTCAGGCGATATGTCATTCTCATTTCTCAATGAAGGTGTGTTAGGCAGTAAAAATTATTTAAGAGTCTCTAATATGTCATTTTTTAATATTTATTATAATATTTTAACTCTTTAATTTGTTTTTTGAGATTATTGACTTTTATATAAAATAAAAAATATTTTGATATTTTAAAATTTCAAAACAGTAAAGATTTATATTTTTTTTTAAAAAAAAGGTTATAATTCTAATATCTTTCTGTAAAAAATTATAAAAAATATAAATTTTTACCGCTTTGGATTTTCAAAATATTAAAATATTTTTGTTTTATGTAAAAGTCAACAATATAAAAAAATAAAATTAATAAGTTAAGACATTATAATAGATATTAAAGAATGACACATTAAAAGTTCCAAGCCTAAAAATACATCAAGCAGCACTATTTTCTCCCTTTTATTTAGTTACCTTTGTTAGGGTAAAGGTACGTTTTTATTTTTGGAATATTTTTGAAGAATGCTCAACGTTTTTGTTAAAATAATTTTATCTTTAATGTTATCAAAAAAAAAATTTGTCTTTTTTATCAAATTTTTTAACAATTAATGTTTAAGATTAATGTTAAAAATTTAATAAAAAGGGAAAAAATATTTTGTTTTAATAATATTAAGACAAAATTATTTTAATAAAAAATTAAAATATTGAATGTTTTTTAAAAAATATTTCTGAGATAAAAATACATCTCTACCATTATACTCATGATAAAGTTGCAGGGTTAAAGCTTCGTCCTATAATATAACTTCTTCAGCTTCATGTATAGGTATTAGTAGTCATTCAGGCTGTTAATTAGGCTAGGAAACAGCACCGCTTGGGAAGACGCGCAGGCTGTCCATTAATCTCCAAACCAAATCTGAGTAATTAGTGTCCTACAGTGGGGACCTTTCATGCGACTCGTGAAAAAGAAAGGACCCGTGTCGGCATTCCTACGGTACCGTGTTAGGGACATAAAGCTGCCAACCTATGCTACATGGCAATCTGATTCGAACACCTCTATCTTTCGTGCCGCTCGTGTTCTTCTATTCAAAAAATTTCTAATTGCATCATACGTGAGCTAGCAAGCATTTTTATTCATCACACTTTTGGTGCCAGCTATGAGCATGATGAAAAAGAAAAGAAACACTGTGCTTGATTCGAGCTGCAAGCAGGATCAGGATCAAATTAAAACGCTGAGGTGTGTGGTTAAATCGTGTGGTAGGGACGGGAGGCCTTCAATAGTGGCTTTTATAGTTTTTTTTTTTTTAATGTAGAATCAAGTTAGGCTGAAGTTTGACTGCATGTAAGATTGGGGAGTTTCAAATCAATGAATGGTCCTCGGCTCAATTACTATCGAATCCTTAAGTCCTTTTGTCTTTGCCTATCAATTGTTGGTGTGGTGATGGGATCGCTGAGTTACCCCGCCTTTACTAGCTGTTTAATGTGAAGGATTCAATTGCCTGGGGGCTTATTTGGAAATATATGCATTTGATCAAAACCTCTTTCCGGAAAAGCAAGAAAATCTTAGCTGATTAAGAGGTGACATGCTTTGATTGATACGCAATCAAAATTTGAAACTCCGTGATAGTAGAAAGCACTAATACTCTATAAAAAGCTTGATGTGTCGTACTTGCGAAATTAACTGGGGTTACATCAGAAACTCTTGAGAGAGAGAGGGAGAGGGAGAGGGAGAGCTAAAATCACGGTGAACTTTCTGTTTGATTTCCGAGTTAAACAGTGAGAATAACATATTATGAAAATGATGGTACCGCCTCAAAATTGGATGGAGATCAATAAAAGAAGCTGTCCTTTTCTTCGGGGGTGAGGCAATCAAGCTTAACATGTTGGGATAATCTCACAAGTTTCCTTATTGATTTTGTTTATGCTTTATATAGCACGTCTCTACTTTTTTATTATGCATCCGGTTAACGCTTGGTCTCGTCATCTTTGTAGTGAATATGTTTAAGTTTAAAAGCAGACATATATCATAGATAGAACAACTGGTGATTCAATTAGGGCAGGTTTATTTGAATTGGCTTATCATATAAAAAGTCTATATGGACAAGTCTAACCCTAACATTTCAAGTTTAAATTATTAAATATTATTTTATTTTACTTTTTCTTTTTTTTTTGAAACAGTTTCAATCTTTACCTTAAAAAATCAAGAGTTTTCAAGCAACATACTAGTGCAATGTGCCTTTTTTTTTGTTATCCTTATGAAGGTGAGACCAATTATTGAAAGAGTATAAATAAAAGCATATAAAGTAACTTCTTGAATTTATTTTTCCTTAACATTCTTTAAGAAAATCAAAACAAATAGTTATTAAAACTTTATTTAGAAACGTGTGAAATGTGAGAATTGATAGTCTGAGATATGGTTTGCGAATACTACTAAGTGCAAGCTGGGGTGAAGTTTAATTTAATTCTATTAATCATAAAACATAATTTGGTTATTCGAGATTATTTGGGTGATCCGAATAAATATATTCTAAACTTTCAAATCCAACCTAAAAATATGTGGAATTTATTCAAGTTGGCCAGATTACACATATGTAATTAAAAAAAAAAAAAAGCCATGGTTGAATGTTTATAGTCAGTGACTTACATGGTGCGAAGCCAACTTTGGTGTGAACAGATATCGAGTCCTTCCGGAAGTTCTCAATTTTCAGCATTGATCCCACTTAGAACATGCCACGCGCCCAGCTTGTCTGGATCACCCTCTTCCTGCTTTCCCCCCCTTTCCCTGGCAATGGTTATCAGAGTTCAGAGACCGTTCTAATTATGAGGATAGAAATGTGAACCGGCTGCACAGTGATATAGCTCTTCTCACAATATCTGATCATCCCCACCGTGTCGAATTTAGATGGTGAACAATGACAACAGATCTAGGAGATAATGTACTTCCTTTTTGTATGTACATGTTCTTAATCATTAGTGTGTGTCTTACTCTCGCTCATGAAAAGTCAAAGGTCAAGGTCTTATAAGTTACGGTCAACGTAAAATGTGTCATTATTTGAATTTATCAATTATTTTTCCAATAAAACCTAAAGGTCTCTTTGTCTGTTTTTTTTTTTAACCTTTTTTTAATTCACAGAAGCAAGTCAAAAGAAAGAGCTGTGGGATTTTTTAATGGTAAGAAACTCATATCGATGCATGAACTTTGTTTTGGCATTTGTCTTGCAGTTTCAAGAACCTTTTTTTTTTCTCAATGAGTTAATTTGTTTTTTTTTTTGTACTCACATGTTTCTTTTTAATTGGAGTCAATTATGTTCAAAACACTGTAGAGTACTACACATGAATAGCTTCTAGTAAAAATTTGAACCCTCTTCTATTAAACTGTGAGAAATTAGCTCATTTCACTATACTTAACTTTCATTGATTAATTTGTTAATTAAATAAGGAATTGGTTTTCCCGCCCATCACAGGTGCTCATCCTTGTGATGAGATTTGAACTATCTAAATCTTGGATGGTTCAAACTTAAAGTATTATATATTATATTTATTACAATAAAATTTATACAAATTATAAAATAATCATGTTAACTTTTTTTAATTTTTAATTTGATCTAGATTTAATTTAAAGTGTCTAATTTAATATTAAATTTTTTATAGTTGATGTACAATGATTATCTATATGTACTCTTCACAATCCAAATTTAATGTGCTCATCCATGTAATGAGATATGGACTATCCAGAATTTGATATGGATTATTACATATTATATTTATTAAAATAAAATTTATAAAATAATTTTAATAAAAGTTATTTTTTAATATGGTTTAGATTTAACTTAGAGGGTCTAATTAACATTCAAATTTTTATGGTTGATGTATATTAATCATCTAAATGTACTTTGCATGGTTCAACTTAAACCAAATTAAACTTAGACTGTGTAAAATACATTTGAATAATTAATATATAATAATTATAAAAATTTTTTATATTAAATTGAGCCCTTCAAATTAAATTTAGATCAGATTAAAAATAAAAAATTTTATTAAAATTATTTTTATAATTTTTGATTTTAATAAATATTAAAATAAAAAATATATAATAATACTTTAAATCTGGACTATCCAAATTAGATATCTAAATGGTCCATATCTCATTACTGGATGAGCATCCCTTGATAAGTAGGGAAATTGGACCCATTTTTTCTTTTTATTATAAGGCCATGGTATAACCTTACACAAGTGACAAAATCAGATGGGGGATTGTCAATAATTTTAATGTCTAAGTTGTCCTAAGAATGCTATCATGTAAGTAAGTCGGCATATTTGTTGGCTTCTCCACAAACATGGTCGAAGGTAATCATCTAATTCTTCATATGAGATATCTAATATTTTTGATGATATCAAAATTGAGTGTCTTTTATAAAAGTTGTGCTCAATGAGTGATAAAACTTACATTGAATCAAAATAAGTACTGACTTTGTGAAGATTAGCATTTTATAAAAATTGAGACCTTTGAGAATTTTTCGGAGCTCACCTTTGAGAAACCAGCCCATTAAATACACATGCATACGTGTCTCATGCGGTCTTTCTCAACAGTTGGAATGCGAAGCAACTTGGATTATCCCGGTTGATGTATAAAATTAGATTGGTTGGCCCAATTCATTTACATTGCTTGAGTTGATGAACTACATATGCCAGCCCATCAAGACATGCTGTGGCCAGTGGGGACCTCGTTCCCCTGTTTCGTTTCAACCTAAATTACCCTGAGCCTGAGGCCCCTGCTGCATTGTTTCAACTTCGAACCTAGCTTATTTTCTGCTGGACCTTAAGGCATTCAGCCTCCCTCCCTTTTTTAATTTGCTTTTTTGTATTGCTTGCCCCTTCCTTCCAGAAAAATATTTTGTATAAACTTACGCTTGGTTCAACTGCATTCTTTTATTCCAGTGGATGATTCCGTTAGCCGCAGGCAGTATCCTCCTTTGGTATGCTCCTGCCGGTTCTGGATGCCTTAATCGCTACAAGTTCCACCATTTCAACGCGAGACTTGTCGCCTTTCTTGGCACCGTAACTCAGTCGCAGCGTCAAAGCTGCAAGGCAATGACTACCCTACCGACATCTGCACACAACAAGGATGCAGCTCAGAAAGAACTAATCTCTGCTCCCTATGGCTCCTGGAAGTCTCCTCTCACCGCTGATGTTGTCTCCGGTGCCTCCAAGAGACTCGTGGCACTGCCGTTGATGGTCATGGTCGCCTCATCTGGTTGGAATCCCGCCCCACCGAGTCTGGGTATGAGCGTTGTATGTTGTTCTGTTTCTTTATCACTTGCTCAAGTAAACTCGCCGATCCAACTTCGCTATCTTTTGCAATTTAGAGTTATCGAAATAAATCCATTTGGTGATTGTGTTTCAGGAGGACGGTCCTTGTTAGAGAGCCGAAAAACCAGAGAGATGAGCCCATCGATATCACGCCGAAAGAGTTCGGAGTGCGAACAGTCGCTCAAGAGTATGGAGGTGGTGCCTTCAGTGTTTCGGGAGACGTTGTTATCTTCGCAAATTACAAGGATCAGAGACTGTACAAGCAATCTATAAGTTCTCCAGTTTAGCATCACCATTCTCCATTCTTCAAAGGTGAAGTTAAACCTTTTTTTTAATTTTTTTCCGAAACAGATTTATTGGCAGGGCACTTGTGTGGCTTGCATTTTTGACTTTTTGAGTGGTTTTCACCTCTCGTGCTTGTCTTTTGTTGTTCAATCACGCATTCCGTTTTCTTTCTAATATACTGTATCAACCTTTTCCCCCGGCTTATAAGCAATAAGTAAGTTTGGCGTCTGCACCACTTGTTTCGATGTTCTCGCAAGTGTATGTGAAGCGTGCTAGGAGAAAATCTTTGTAGAGAAATCTTGTAGAGAGAGCATCACTTCTAAAATGGGCTTGGCCTACTAAGAATTCATTGGAATGTAATTAATACTGAAATTATGTGGCTCGTCCCTTGCAGATGTTACTCCCGTCCCTCTCACTCCCGATTACGGGGGACCAGTAGTTAGCTATGCTGATGATTATTGGATGCACGCTTTAACCGTTATGTCTGTGTACAGGAAGGTTACGCTCATAATAACTTTTAATGGAAAGAAAAAAACCTGTCTCTACTACTTATTTTAGAATGTTCCCACAACATCTACACCTATTAAATCACTCATTTATTCAGTGATACATCTTTTTGGTAGATCGTCGGGTTAGCAATATAAATTCAACCACAACAATTGTATCAATAGCTCTTGGCAATAAGGATGTTCAAGGTAGGGTTGATTGAATACTGTGAATACGTATTCCATCATGATGTCCGTAGGTTTTCCCGTTGCTTTTTGATGATTCCATGCGTTATCTAATCAAAATTTTGTTGTGACATTCAGAACCTGAAGTATTAGTTAGCGGAAGTGACTTCTATGCTTTCCCACGCTTTGATCCAAAAAATGAACGGATAGCATGGATTCAGTGGAATCACCCTAACATGCCCTGGGATAAATCAGAACTTTGGGTCGGTTATATTCTGAAAATGGGTGAGCAAGCATTTATGCGTCAGTTGGAAGAATTCAGTTTGTTTACCGAGTTGGTTCTCTTATTGAACTGATGATGAAACATACTTTCATTACATACTTCCATTTCGTGATGTGCTTTGGTTATTATATTCCATGTTTGGATAGGAATAGCTGACATTTTACAGGCATTCAACTGTTTTGTGAACCCTACAACAAAAACACATAAACCCTACAAACTCATGTAATCCTGCCTCTTTCGGTAATCTTGGGAAAGACAAAAGCGATTATTTAATTTGTGTCTACACATAGGTTTATTATCCCATTCCTTTCCCTTCTTTTTTAGCGGGTTTATTTTTCAATTCTTTGTGACAGCTTTTTCAAATTCTGCATCTTAGTTGGTGACAGTTTTCTATTCTATGCGTGCCATGTTTCAGTTAGAAGCTAATTAATCATCTTGAGATTACATGCAGAGAGATCTCTAAGCGCAGCTGCATTGCCGGCATTGATCCTTCGCTTGTGGAGTCTGTAACTGAACCCAAGTGGTCCCCTAATGGTATAGAAATGCCCCATTAACATTAATAATTAAGTGTTTAATTATGTCGGCTATCCACACTCTTGGTGCATAACTGCATGTCATTGTTTTTAGAGATGTGTGTTGCCGTCAGTGAATGTTATGAATTTATGTATAATGTTACTGTGTTCTTAAGATGGTGTTGAATCCAACTAGAAAATTAGTAATGATCTTAGCCTTCTGATTTTTATGTCAAAACAATTTTTTGAATAATTTTCATTATGCAGGGGAACTATTTTTCATTACTGATAGGGGAAATGGCTTTTGGAATCTCCATAAATGGGTAAATTTCTTTATCTTATTATTTTTAAAACATTAATATTGGCTTCCATACGTTTTCTTTTCAACATGGATAAATCTCATTATTACGTTGAGATAATTTTATTCAATAAAATTGGGATTTTAGTACTTATACAGAAATAGAACATT